ATAAGAATAAAAATAAAAAGTTTAGACGTTAAAAGAATTTGTTTAATTAAATATTTTATTTTAATGAAATTTGTTATTTAATTTTGGAAAAAAGGGAATATTAATTTTTAGAATAATAACAATTTTAAATTATTTGAAACAGAAAATAACTAATTTACAATGCTGTGAAATATACAAAATAAAATAAATAAATAAGAAAATAAAATATACCGTTTATCTGAAGATGGAACCAACGTTTAAAACAAAAAAACAAAAAAACAAAAAAACAAAAATTCCCAATACATAAAAGGGGAAAGGAGTAAAAGATCACTCTTCTTCTGTTTCTAGAGAAAGTGAAAATGGAGAGAATCATCTTCAGACACGTAGTGATCATGTGGATGAGAATGGGAGTTTTACAGAGAGAGAAAGGCTCGGGAGATAAAAGAGACTGAACTTGCAGATCTCTTTCTCAATCTCTTATGGCCTTATACCGGGAGAGGTATCAAGGTTTTCTTATGAAATGACTGAATTCAACTTTACAGCTTCAGCGACGGCTTTGTTTCTGAACATGTATAGTTAAGGAGGTGGAGGGAGATAGATCTACTTTTTCGGTTGCATGTCAGCTGAGTAGGGTTCTGAGTTGGAGAAAACGGACCTGTTTGATTCCTAATTTCTGTCCGCGACTGGCTTGCTGCAGAATTCCGGTGAAGATTTGGGACTTTTGTTGTTTCCTTGAGGTGATGAATTTCTCTCTGTTTGATCACTGCTTTCAGCTTTGATTGTGAATTGTGGTCTGGTTGGCCATAAACCGCTCATCTTGCATGTTAAATTGTTAGTACATTTCGTGATTTTTGGTTTCTAGGTTTGCAGCTTTTGAGATTAATTTGGATAATGATAAGTAGAGCTGGGTGCTTGAAGAAGATTCTAAGTTTTATTTTCTATTGTATGTTGGCAATTAATACTTGAAAATAATAATAAATTCCGAAGCACACACCCCAAAAATTATATATATATATTTTAAAAATCTTGAACATGACGGATATTTAGCTTAGTAGTGATTGCTCCAGAGGAAGAAAAGGACTGATATCGAAAGGAAAGCCTATGTATTATGTAGATTTCTGCATGCATCATCGAAATTGATTGGTATGATAAAATAATAAGGATACCTTGCTTTTATTGCTTATTAACAAAATGCGTACGGACTCTGCTGACTTTATTCGGAAATCAGTCTCTCCTTGATTAGGTGGAAATAGTGGGCATGGAAGAAGGTTTATGGTCATGCAGTTGTGTAAAACATAAAATGTCTTGGGGGGAATGGCGCAAAAATCTGGTTTTGATATTGATTATGGCATCTAATTCAATAAATTATCCATTTATTCATATGGAGTGACATATTTTTGGGGACTTAATCCATCCTCAGTCATTTTTTCTTTTATAATCTTTCACTTCAAAGTTTTCTAGTAATTGCTAAATGTTTCTATTAGAAAGTTGGAATTTGACAAAAAATACTAATGCACATGAAAGCAATCAGTAACTTTCCATGTTTGGATGGGCATTTTGTGGTTGAGAAGAAAAGGTTATAAAAAGTGATGAAGAAGACTAAGCAATTATTCATAATTTTTGTCATTCATTATCATTTTTCTGCCCAAATCTACTTTTGGTTCTTCTTAATCAAATCAGGAACTTATTGAGGGGGGGAAATTGTAGTATTTATTACTTCATTTTTCAATATAATATTAGTAGGGATGCTGAAGCTTTTAAGGTAAGTGTGCTGTGGTTTCTAACTATTTTTTTTCTTATGTATGACAAATCATTCTTCTTACTATCAGGCAATCATTTTTCTCCTTATGTTTGCTTTATATTTCTTTATTAACAGATGATTCTATGTAATAGTAAATATTTACATGTTGCATGATGGCATGCCCATAGACAACATATTTAAGATTAAGGCCTGGGAGGTCACAGGTTCGACTCCCACTCTCAGCATTTGATTTTTTATTTAAAAAAAAAAAATGCCCATAGACAACATATGACCTTAATAACAATTAGTATATCAGCAAACTAAAACCATAATGTTGTATTCTTATTTGATTAACGGTAATGATAAAACCTGTGGCCATTGGCCATACAGTAGTTCCTCCCTTTACATAGGTGTTGGTGAGAGAAAATGAAAAGTCAGAAGAGAAAGTTCAATATTTGGTGAGTCTATACAAAGGCATGATCTAAGGTTGAGGACTTTTATTGTGTTGCATGGTACAATCTTTCATTATTTGGTGCTTGAGGTTTCCATTGCTAATTAGGCACATGCCTATATGTTTGGTCCAACTCTATGCCAATGTGATTTATGCATTCCATACTACTATGACACCATCATTTTTGGCTGGAAGAGGTTTCTGTAACTGGCACTTTTAAGTTTGAAGTTTTCTTATATTATAACCTTCTGACAACTTTCTTGGATTTTCCCTTTCTTTTATCGTGTAGCATCCTCAATCACACATTGATTGAAATGGTGTTCAGAGATGCTTTAAATGGACAAAAGAAGAAAGTTGAAGGGTCAGATTGGGAATCACCAGCTATGGCTGACCTGCTGCATCATATAATGTTTCAACTCGGCTCATCCATCAGTCAAGATTTCATATTTCTTCAAGAAAATTGGCATCTATTGGAATCATTTCTCTTGGCTAGAAATATTAGTTTGAAAGAATTTGGAAAAGGTTTTCTTGAAAAGGAAATTCATATTTCCAATTTATATGCAAAGCTAAATGAGGATACGCATGTCATCATGGCATCATCTGGTGAGAATCATGATAGCCAACCATCAGATGACAGTCTCCTACCAGGCCTTCCTGATGACACAGCATTAGATATTTTCGCTTGGGGGAGCAGGTCAGATTTCCCAAATCTGGCCAGTTTGAATAAAAAATTCAAATCATTGGTTGAAAGTGGATATTTATATAAACTGAGGCGGCGGCTTGGAATCATAGAACATTGGGTTTATTTAGCCTGTATTTTAATGCCTTGGGAAGCTTTTGATCCTGTAACACAGAGATGGATGAGATTACCTAGGATGCCATGTGATGATTGTTTTACGTATGCAGACAAGGAGTCCCTTGCAGTGGGAACTGAGCTACTTGTGTTTGGGCGGGAGTTGTCCGGATTTGCTATTTGGATGTATAGCTTGATTACCCGTGATTGGTCTAGATGCCCTCTAATGAATTTGCCTCGCTGCCTGTTTGGTTCAAGTAGTCTTGGAGAGATTGCTGTTGTTGCTGGTGGAACTGACAAGCATGGCCATGTTCTGAAGTCCGCTGAGCTTTACAATGCTGAACTAGGTACTTGGCAAATATTGCCTGACATGAATTTGTCACGTAAACTTAGTTCAGGCTTCTTTATGGATGGTAAGTTTTATGTCATCGGGGGCATGTCAAGCCATACCAATTGCTTGACTTGTGGGGAAGAATATAACATAGAGACAAAGACATGGAGGCGGATAGAAAACATGTATCCTGATTCCAGTGTGAGTACACAGTCTCCTCCGGCCATGCGTTCTCCTCCATTAGTTGCTGTTGTCAATAATCAGCTTTACTCTGCTGATCAAGCAACAAACGAGGTAAAGAAGTATGACAAGACTAATAACTCCTGGAATGTTGTGAAGAGGTTGCCAGTCAGAGCTGATTCTTCCAATGGCTGGGGACTGGCATTCAAAGCATGTGGCAACAGTTTGCTAGTGATTGGAGGACATAGAGGACCTGAAGGTGAAGTTATTGTGCTCCATTCATGGAATCCAGATGAAGGCAACAACGAAGGATCAGATTGGAATGTGCTTGCTGTTAGGGAACGGGCAGGTGCATTTGTGTACAATTGTGCAATAATGGGCTGTTAATGCTTCACCTTTATGTATAGCATTGCTCCAAACAATTGACTTGTGAAGCTGAGAAGAACTTGCTTTCAGTAAACATTTCAAGTATACAGTGTTTGCTTTGCCATTGATCCTATCTATTAGTCATAAGTAGTCTTGCATTAACAATGGGAGTTCATACAGAATTCTGACTGAAATTTTATTCTTGTTTCCTGTCTATTGCTTCTCTGACGTGAATGCTTTTTTTTTTTTTTTTTTCTTTTTCTCCCGTGTCTTGGTGTTGGTTTTTGTTTAATGTTGGTTCTCCTGATGTTTCTACTTTCTGTCAGGCTCTTTCTCTCATTTGCATGATTGTATGGTGTAGTTCTTTTTCAGGTACCAAAAGGCCTTCCTGTTTCTCTTGCCGAAAAAGATATCAGCATGTTCCCATCAAATAATGCAAAAACCTTTATTTCAAAAGTAAAATATTAAATATAAGAACCGACTCTTTAAATCCTTAATTGTACATCAATCAATCTTGAGAATCAAGTTCTCCAAAATGGCGTTATCATGCTTTGATGGTTAAATAGTGTGAAGGGTTTGTAGCTGTTGATATTTATTGCTCGCAGAACGCAAGTTGTGTTGAAACTGTTGAATGTCAATAAAGTTGCCTTAACACCAATTGGAAACACGTCTTAATCAAACTTCTACTTTCGTAAACGTCATCAACTGATAAATCACATGGTTTGATAAGGAAGCCATTGACAGCTCAGAAAACATACGCATTAAAAGAAGGAAAATTGATTCGTACATAACAAGTTTGTTACAACAGGGGGAAAAAAAAGACCCTCCAACTAGATTTAATCATTGGTAGAGACGTTACGGAAAGGGAGATCATTAGTCACTTCGTAAGCCAGGCACCACCAAAGCTTGTGAGCGGCAAGTTCTAATTAAGTCTTAGATGAGTCGGGGAAATCCAGCAAAATGCTCATGAATAATTACATTTTCTCCCTATTTCAGAGCAATCACCAAATTAAACACAAATCAGTTTGTGTTTTCTCCAGGAAGGCCGATATAGCGGATGTGAAACCTAGGTGTATGAAGTTTCAAGTGATAAATTCACAATATCATCCAACACCACAAGAAAGGAATCAAGTGAATGACATCTTAACTAAATGCTTCAACAGCATTGCTTCAAAAAATATTCAACAATAAGCAGAGAAGATTGATGGAAAATAAAATTTATTCCATGGTTTTGCTAGGTGATGGTGAAAAAAGGTACCACCTTAAAATATGCACAACTTTAGTCCATTGATAACATAATTCAATATTCAAACCAGCTACTACAAATCAGCTATCTGATACAATACTGTCAACACCACTGTTACCCAACTAATGCCTTGCTGCAGTAATCTAAAAGAAGACCTTCCACAGTTTTCCATGACCATCGGTTGAAGCTTCTTGCCACCAAAATTGACATCAGCAGCGGTACCCACTGAGAATCCATCACATGACCATGGAACACAAGATGAAGAATTTGCATTGAATGAAACCAAATTCATGGCTGTACAGGGAATACAGGTTTTTGAAGGACTTGACCATTGATTGATCAAATAAAAGAAAAATTACAAATTGTGAACTTAAGATCTCATTGATCAGAAACAATTTTATCTTCCATTAATGTGCACTAGGTACAACAAATAAATCCTATCAAAACTTCAACCTTCTATTCGCCGACATGGTCCTCATGTGTGGAGCTTCTGGGTCATGATCATTCAAGCAGTCATGTAATACTTGCTGCTTGATAGTTTAACACTTTTTTTTTCCCTCTTATCTGAACAAATCTGCCACCTGCAATTAGAGGCAACTATCAAACCCCTTGAAGAATAAAGACAAAAACGTAGAAGGAAACAGCAATGACAAAAGATGGATATTGATTTTACATTTTCAACTTTTGGGCACAAGGGGTCAACTTTTTCGTACATCCAAATCACTTGGATCTCTGATTCTCATTTTATATAGCTTCCTATTCTGGTCATCCCTTTTCTATTGAAAAGGAAAGGCAACATCATGAATCAGTGAAGCATAACCACCTTATCTACACGTAATATAATTTAGTTATGTAATGACCAACAACGGCTAGTGGAACAAGTTTAACTCAGTTTATGTCAGCTTAACCTGTATAAGGAAAAGCAAAACTACACAAGTAAAAGTTCTGATATCTCATGGCCAAGACCTTAAGCATAATTTATATTTAGGCAACTAATACTACCAAGGTCTCAAAAGTCAATGACAGAAGCATTATCCTTGTCTTCCTGATTACAACTTTGGAACCAAAAGAAATCTCACTCCTGAACTCCTTATGACTTAAGCTACTACACAATGGATGCTTTTTTTAATAGTAATATAGCATGTTGACTTGGTGACTTCGTCGATAGGTACTAGCATTCAGTAAGGATCATGTAGATGGTAGTGGCTGTAATGCAATTTTAAGCAAAGTATTGCTACAACAAGTTGCAATTTGAAATTTCCCAGAATTATTAAATGAGTCATCCATGATAAAGTTTAACTTAAAACTCTTATAGCCCAACCATTCTAAAAACAGCTGCAACAATAAACTACCAACACCACCACTGAGAGAAACGATAAAATTACATATTCATAATAATTTGTTCAACATTTTACAACCAAGCCAAAAATTAATCAATTGATTGACCTAATTAAACAAAAATGAAGAGTATTAAATCTCAACTTTAAAGAATTCTTTTCCGAAGAATTAAAAAGTGAACCTACAAATTCCACATAGAAATAACAAAGACATTATTCAAGTAAACATGTCATAACCTACCTTTTATCCTTTTGAAGTGAAACATACATATTACAACTATGCTTCCTGTAAAAACAAACAAATGAACAAGATAAGCATCTGATGATGAGGCACTTGATATGATAATTAACATTCTCTAACAATGACAGATCATTATGGAAGGATGAAAAACAATGAGGTCAGTACTATAACCCAGTTGTGTTTTTCGATAAACATTACCAAGCAGAGAGAATTATAAAAAATATATGGGAATGGAGTGATTGAACAAGATACTATAGCCATTGGGAGAGAATTTACCAAATTCTTTAGTCCGTTATACAATAAGGAGGGCAAGCATCACCTCATTTTTGGAAGACATCAACTGGAGCCCTACTACTGGCCATAGAGCTAATTGGTTGAAGAAACCTTTCAATGAGTAGGTCATGACTCTGATCTGGAAGGAGAGAGAGAAGGAAGAGAAAAAAATCCTTTGAGGTTATAATACTTTTTGTGCTCGATTCATTGAATTCATGCCCATTTATAGGCTACAATGACACATACCCTCTAGGACACATATAACCTCTAGGCACTCCTGGAGGTTTCTACGGTCTTGAAAATTGGGTCAAGTATGTTCACTATTAAACACAAGCTTGATAGAACCAAAGAAAGGTACAAGGTAAGATTGGTGGTTAAAGAGTATACTCGGATCTAATGAATTGATTATCAAGAAACATTTGTACTCATTGCAAAGATGAATACGGTAAGTACCCTACTATTTTTAACTACTAATTTTAATTCGCAATTGTAACAATTTGATATCAAAAATGCTTTCCTACGTGGGGAGTTAGAAGAAGAGATTTACATGGAAATTTCTCCTAAATTTGCTAAGAGAATAAGACCGAATAAAGTGTGTATATTAAAAAAAAAAAAACATTGCATGGGCTTAAGCAATTCCCAATATGGTTTGGGAGATCTGTAAAAATAATACTATGTACAGACTACAAATAAAGTCAAGGTGATTACAACCTGTTCACAAAACATCAGAGTTAGGAGGAGTCACGAACCTCTTGGTGTATGTAGATGTACAAGGAATGATGAAGGGGAAAAAAGTAATTCTCGAATAATGCCTAATTAGAGAATCCAAGATCAAAGAATTGATGAAATTAAAATATTTCCTATGACTTGAAGTGAGCTTACTCAAAGTCAAGAATATTTATCTCACTTCTGAAAGAAACTGGCAAGCTGGTGTGTAAAACTGCAAGCACACCAATTAATTCCAATCATAAACTGAGGTTGGCAGAGGAAAACCAACAAGTGGACAAGAAAATGTACCAAAACTAATAAAAAACTGATATACTTGTCATATATCAGGCTATAAACAACATATGCAATTAGTTTAGTGAGTTAATTCATGTGCAAGTCCAAAGAAGTGCATCTACAAGTTGCTTACAGGATTCTCCACTATATGAAATGGACTCCAGAGAAGGGAATTACATTTAAAAGAAATATTGTCCTACTCCTGGAAGCATATTTTGATGCAGATCATGTATGACCATTAGTTGATAGAAGATCCACCTCGGAATACTACAACTTTCTTGGAGACAATCTAATGACTAATAAGTAAAAGACAAAATATGATGGTCAAGTCTAATGCAGAGTCTCAGTTCAGAGTTATGACTCAAGGAGTGTGTGCTCCTATGCTTGAAAATGATTTTAAAAAATTTAAAAATCTAGTTAGATGGACCTATAAGAATCTACTGCGATAATAAGTCAACTATTAATAATGTTAAATAAATGATAAATTAGGTTAAAAGATAGAAGAGTAAATTACACATTTAGTAATTAATTGTAATTTATTGTCTGTTTTATTCTTTCTCCTACAAAATCTGTATACATAAAACTGTGATATTCAGTAGAATACACATCAAAGGTATTCTTAACACGGTATCGAAGTCTAGGTTAAAGAAGTTCTGGTCTCAATTATCAACCCTATTCTACTTTCATTGCCAAAATAGAAAAGAAAAAACCCTAAAAAGACTAGGTTAGCCTTTATAACTGACCATTACAAAACAACTGCCAACCACCACCACTTCACCATGAACAAATGCAGCCGCACCATCGGACGTGTCAGCGACCAAACATAAACGCAATGCGTTTATTGTCATCTGTCGTGATGCCTCCTCTGGCGACCAGATGCAGATGCTAGAAGCAAGCATGAAGTCGTATGTCACAATCCTACTCCTATCACGAAGCAAGAGATGTACATCGCTCATCCTCTACGCCACCCTCAACTTCAACCTCTGTCTAAACGAACGACACTCGGAAATACATAGACAGTGCACAGGAAACGATGCTTAAAAAAATAAATTTACGTAGATATCCTACCAGACTTTGATAGAGAAGCAAGACCAAATAAGGTAGTAAACTACAGAAGGCTTCTTATATACTCAAGCAACCGCCAAGAGCACAGTTTGACACAAGGATGATGATAGATTTGTGATTTAAGTAAACTCAAGGAAACTACACTATACTCATCAAACACTTAGAGATAGGGGGAGTTACAACTCTCCTAATATACGTTGATGACATTATTGTTAACAAAAAATTATGATAAAGAAAAATTAATATTAGAACAATGTTTGATAAAAAAATTTGAAATTAAGGAACTTGGTAAATTAAAAATATTTTATGAGAATTGAAGTTACCCTCTCAAAATTGAGGAATTTATTCTACAGTAAAAATATATTCATGACCTGTTGAAGGATATTGGCAAATTAGCATGCAAACCAGCTAACATTTTTGTTGATCCTAATTACAAACTAGGAAAAGTAAAAAAAATACACCAGTAAATAAGAAAATATATTAGAGATTGGTTGGATGATTGATATATCTATCCCACATAAGACTAGACATCACCTATGCAGTGAGCGCTACAAATTAATTTATGCATAATCCAAAAAAAATGCACCTACAAACAGCCTACACAATACAATATTACCCAACAAGGTCACTGGAAAAAGAATTATATTCAAAAATAGTGATAAACTGCTCCTAAACTCTAATATTAATAGAAATTATGCAGAATTAGTTGTAAACAAAAGGTCTGCCACAAGATACTGTACGTTCTTTAAGGGTAATTTAGTCACCTAAAGAAACAAGCAAAATATAATTGCGAGATGAAGTGCAGAGTCATAATTTCAAAAAATCGCACAAGAAGTAGGAGAACTACAATAGACAGAATTTTAGAAGATCTTATAATCAAGCGGGAAAACTCTATGCACCTATATTGTGACAATAAATCGACTATAAGTATCGCTCACAATCAAGTCAACATGAAAAGACCAAACACATTGAAATCGATAGACATTTTATTAAAAAAAAAACTTGACAGCGGCCATAAGCCTCTCAACTTCATAGAAAGGCAACACCTTCCATTTGATAGATTATCCCTAGCCTCCTCTCCTACATTGAACCACAAATAGCCCCTCGTAATTTTCTCAATTCTATTAGTGATGCTAACTATAGTGTAATCAAGGGGTTTTTTGGATGCTTGTCTCTAAACACAGGATAAACAAGAAATCTTGGGTTGATGAGTCCTATACACAAGCAACCCTTACTGTTGCTAAAAAAATGCTTAAATTGGTATGCTTTCTCTTTTTCCTAAACACTTGGTTGATAGATTAGCCACTGAGAATTAATTGTAAATCATGATAACTTTACTTTTCAATACCAGGAAGATAAAAATGATTTAGAACAATCCAAGAAATTGTAAAAGACAAAAAATACTTACATATGAATACATTAATCAATTGGATGTTTATCAGCTTGGCGAGATGTATAATGAGCAGAGAGTAAAATCAATGAAAGAAAAGCACTGGCCACAAAGATTGCATCAAACCATCGGTGGTAGAAGTCAAACTGAATATCTCCACCTAATACATCCGTTATGATTATCCTGTCGAGAATAGACTCAGATAACAGCCAACTAACTATTTTATGATATATACAACACAATATTATGCAGCATGCTGTTGAGATACTTAAGCCATATAGAGCTAAATGAGGGCTACAATGTCATAACTCAACCCAAAATATCTTCTTGCTGATGTTGTCAAATTCTCATATTAGCTGTTGAACTTCAAAATTACCTTCCATTACGGTTTTAATTAATGTAAATTTTAATTCCAGAGAAGGGGCATTGAACATACAATT